GTGTGTGTGTGTGTGTGTGTGTGTGTGTGTGTGTGTGTGTGTGTGTGTGTGTGTGTGTGTGTGTACAGAAAATCTTTAAAATGCTCATTATGCTATTAAACTACAGAATTATAGCATAGTCCAGAATAACCTATAACTCAAACAAAAAGATCACAATATACTCTCAAAATCCACAAATGTGAACAAAATTAACCCTTTCAGGAACAGCGGTTACTACAGTGGACAGCTTATCATGTTATCAGGTGTTCATGAAAGGGTTAATTCATGATTTCGTTGTTCAAACGGGGCAATGCAGTAAAATGCCAGACATTTGCGAACAGTTTTAACAGTCATACAGTTGAGTTGAGTTGAGTCAAACAGTAACCTCCTACAACCAACCCTGAAGAAAAAGCAACATTTGCTATGTGCGCAAACACTCGCTAAAGCTTCTCCGCTCAGGGAGTTACAGGCTTAAGTAATTTGTTTCCTTCATTTTTACATGCCCTCCTCTCATCCAGGAACAAATTGCCTTGCTAACAAAGTATCTGTGGATTGGGAAGCATTGCTATGAATCCCGGAATTTTGCAACAGCCATGCAGGTCCTCGAAGGTTTGGAGAACATGATGGTCAGGCAATTACCAGTAAGGCTGATTCACTATTTTTTGTTCTAATGTTTAAGTCTGAACATCTGTGGTGAGAATGACTTTTTATTTTTCCAACACTGCTTCACTCAGGGCTACTTTAAAGCTACACTATGCTGAATAGAATGAAAAAACAAAAAATATCTTCCTTTTTCTATCACAGGTTTGGAAACATCTGTCTTCCAAGATGCTTGAGATTCTGGAGGAGCTACGAGCCGTACAGGTGCACGTTTGTGTGTATGTAGGTGTGTGTGTGTGCGTGTGTGCGTGTGTGTGTGTGTGTGTGTGTGTGTGTGTGTGTGTGTGTGTGTGTGTGTGTGTGTGTGTACACTAGGGGATTGCCAATCTGAAGGCCAGTCTGGCCACATATTTTAAAATTGGGCTTCAGGGCAAATAAATCAATCGGAAAACAAGTCACATGTGCTCACAGCTGGTATTTCCACTAAAACTTACCTCTAAAAGAACCTGATACATGAATAAACTCTTGTTGGAAATGCTAACATGAAGCTGGCCTCTGAAGCAGTCACTTTGACGCCACAATGCACAATATGGACAAAGGTATTGGAATGTTTGCCATTACATTAGTTCAACCGTGCTATGAAGCTAATCACACTTTGATTTGATCAGCTTTCACAACTCAATTTTCCATCGTGATTAATTGGAATACAATGGTACCTCGACTTACGAAATTAATTGGTTCTGACTGTCTTGAAATTTTGTAAGTAGAGACGCGTTTTCCATGTAAATGCCTTAATCCAGGGGTCCCCAACCTTTTTTGCCCCACGGACCGGTTTAAGTCAGACATTATTTTCAGGGACCGGCATTTAAGGTGTGGCGGAATTAATACAACAAAATAATATGGTATGAGCTGCATGAAAACTGTGGTGTTTTCGAAATATAATAATAAACACAAGGAGCGTCTAATCTGGTCGCAACACTCTTATCGCTCTGGTAATGTTTAATGCCTTCAAAATACGATACAACGCAAATTCAAAGTGCATGAAAATGACGACTCACCACAGCCCCGAGCTTGATTTTCTGCAATCAGACAGTCCCATCTCGGGGTAATAGGAGACAATGACACCTCAAGTGTGTGGTTTATGTCCAGTCTACTTCGTAATTTTGTTTTAGTCGCTGTTGCTGCATAAACTCCCCACCTCACACAGGTAGGATGTCGGAAATAGCAACAGTGCTATTGTGGCGATCTCAGAGTATTCAGCCATAACTTTGATCCAGTTGTTACTTTCGAACGTACTTTTAAGGCCGCCGTCATTTGCGATCTCCAAGCAGCTCTTTTACTCATTTTGCGGGCTTCAGTTGGGGACCCCTGCCTTAATCCATTGCAAACCCCGCCAAAATTCAGATAAATGTTTTCTAAAGCATAAAAATGCATCAAATTATGTAACAAAATACATGTTACAATTGGATTATTGCACAATAAATGAGAGTTGTGCATCATGTAAAAAACAAAGAATAAAGAATAAAAACGATGGTTATTTAATTTTTAACTGCATCTTCATAGTTTTTTGACCTCTGTAGTTCATGTTCTCTCTCAGAAGTGATTTTTTTTTGGTGTTTTGTAACGAACAAGGCAAATATCAGCATAGTCAGCGATCGCCCTACTGTTGAACAATTTTTCTGCGTGATTCACATTTACGTAAAACTATCGTAGCGCCTCATGGCCCGAGGGACGAATGATGAGGACGTTGCATTGACACATATCTATCTATCTACACACATTGACACATACTGTAGAGGTCCCGCTTAGCCAATAGGATGCCAGGAGGATGCTAGGTAATAGCCAATGGCAAAGCAGCTAAAAGTATGCTGCGTTCAGGAAACTCGGAGCTGTGATCAGCAGACCATACTGTATTTTTAGCTTTCGTATCTTGAAATTTCTTTTGTAACAAGAGGCAATATTTTCCTGTTGAGGCGTTTCCTAACTTCAAAATTTCGTTTGAAGAGATGTGAAAAGTAGAGGTACCACTGTAATCTGTTTTCTAGTCCAAACTGTCACCAATAAAAAATACCGTTAAACGGACATTTAACATTGTATAAGTAACATTTGAACCATATTAATTGTGTTAAGGACTTGCATAGACTCTAGAACAACTCGTTGGAAATGCGCTTGTCTCCATCCTGATGACTGTCAAGGTGCCCTTGAGCAAGGCACCGAACTGGACACCATGAGTCTTCTCTGCTTATATTGACTCCACTTGGCATACTTACAACTGTGTTTTCTTGTCAGACCTGATGCGTATGTATGGATTAAATTCTTTCTCCTCAGGTGTTCCTGAAGAGTGATGACATGTGTCTTATTGCGGGAGAACACAAGAGAAGACCCACCCTGCCGTCAGCGCACATCCTGGCCATGCATGTTCAACAGCTGGAAATCGGAGCCTTCACAGTCACGAGCGGAGCTTTCAAGTGGCCAAAGCTTAGGTAAGGTCAAATGTCAGGGGTTAAATACAACTGACAGAGTATCGATTCCTACTAAATACCATGTTCACTATGGCCCTGCCCAAAATCAGTCCCAGGTGTTATGTTTTTGTTTAGGTTACATTTGGTTTTGTCCCCTCATGCGCCCTTTTTGTCTCCACCTGCTCTCGTCATCCGTGTCCCTTGTGTTTAACCAATCAGCTCCCTCCACCCTTTGTGTCTTGTCCAGGTGTTTCTCGTTGCATCATCACTTTGCTTGTATTTAGTTCCCTGGGTCCTGCCAGTCTTTGTTGGATCATCGTGAGTGTCTGTGTGCTCCTGTCATGTTTTGTTTCTGTCCTAGGTTTTTGCTACTTTGGTTCCTTGTTGTTTTCTGGACTTTGTTCGAGTACTTCATTTAGTTTTTTCCAGTGTACTTGTGTTTGTATTTTTGTTCAATACATCTTGGTCAGTCCACCCTGTTCCTCCCTGCCTCCCTGCTTTTTGGGGTCCTCCACCTACCACCTCGCAAAACCTGACACCAGGTGTATTTAGCCTTTCACCTTAGCTGGGAGAAGTATCAACCCTTGCCTTGTCTCTAAACAGGATCATCTAGATCACAGGTGTCAAACTCAAGGCCCACCACATCATTTTATGTGGCCCACGAAAGCAAATCAAGCAGGTCGACTTCAATGATATTTGGTAAAATCTGTACCAGAATTTCAAATTGTTATATGAAATAAATTATCATGTTGCGATATTGCAAGCATTTTCCAGTCATGTTATGACAGTAAAAGTAGTATCTTAACTGTTCTTTTGATGGTGGCACGGGCACCGGCAGCGGCTCCTCTCTCTCCTGAGGAATGTAATTTCATTTGTGCTATATGTTGCACATGTAGCACATTTGACAATAAAGTTGACTTGACTTAACTTGAACAGCAGTTCAATAAACGACTATCCTTTTGATTAAAAATTTTCTTTGGCCAGAGTTTTCAGAGACCCTGGTTTTCATTGAAAAAAATCTCCGCTGATGCATGAATGACAGGGAAGACTGCAGACAAGTGTCTCCCGTTTGCAAAGTACCTGTCGATGCGTACAGTAACTCAGGCCTCAATTTGCGTCTGATGTTTTCCTTTTTTTTCCAAAGTTAAAGTATTACGGGATGCATGCACAGATACTACACATTCTTTTAGTGCAAACCAAAAATCCCTTGAACTGAAAATGGCTTACTTTATGCATACCAATATCCATGGATGGCAGCGACCCACTCCTCTCCTTCAGATTGACCAGATGCTGAGTCACAGCAAGGGGCGGTTGGAAAGAAATGATGCAGCTGTTGAATTAAGGGGTGGCACTGCTGTAGCAGATGGCGCCCGTGGGAGGTGAGTTTGATTGGAAAAGAGGTTGCGGTCCAGATGCTTCGCTGCCGCTGGGTACAGCCAGATGCTCGGGTCAAAAGATCCAGCAGATACAACCAGAGCAACAGCTGGTTGGGCTGAAACCAGGGTCCTTCGATGTTGTCTCCAAATTAGGCCACCGAAAAAATGCTGAAGCTACTTTGGGGAAAAAAAAAAAAGATTAGTTGCAAGAAACATTTTTCATGTTATGTTTTTATGTTTCTCATCCCATCTCATTTTCCTCTCATCATCCCATGATGGTCTTTGAAAGGAGAATAGCGAAGGTGGTGAGTCAGGTCCACGCCTTCCAGGAGGTCATTTTCACCTATGGCCCGGACCGGGACTTGCAGACCTACCTTCGCCACCGCATCACCAAGCTTGGCAATTCCGACATTCTCCTCCAGCCTGCTGCCGATGATGCTGATTCCCAACAGTCCACTGAGCGTCAAACAAGGAGGGTTCAGGCCACCCTGAAAAAGGTTAAGGCCTCCTTGCAGTGAGCCGTGCCCTGCCCCCCGTCTCAAGACCCCAAAAGTCATGTCATGTGCATTTTTAAATGTGATTTAATTTTCCTCACTGTATGTATATTTATTTGACACAGAAAACAAAAAGATTCCAACATAGATCATACCTACAGGACCACTGGATTCATACAGCCAGGAGCCTGTATGAATCCAGTCTTTTCATATACAGGCATGGCTGGACGCGGATGTTTAGATGAAACATTTTAGCTGCAAGGTCAGAAACGATCCATAAAAGATGCCATGTGAGAATTCATCAGGAAACCCACTCCACATAAAAGAATATGTATCAACTGTGTTGCTTTTTCAAAATGGTTTGAGGTCTGCATTCATTTCGTGTTTTCAGTAAAAGCGTGGAGTGATGAGAAAAAGTTTCATGTGACCTCAAAAGTATCTACATTGTTAAATTAGCACAGAATTTTTTTTGTTTTTTGCTTGAAATGCCACTGAATTGTGGAAACACGCTCTGTTCAGAAACACAAATGTTGGCTGGTAGGAACACATCTCAAATGATCTCAAATGACAGCTGATTTTGAACATGCTGCATATGTTCAAAATCAGCTGTTTAAACAGTGAGAAGAGTTAAATCTCACAGTGATTTAATCACAAGTGAGAACGGGTCTGGTTGTCTTCAAAATGTCATATGGTTTGAGTCCATCTTTCAATTCTTTCTTTTTTGGGGGGCATGGGGGGTTACTAATCATCCCTCAAAAGAATGTTGCATGTTTGTATTGGGTTAGGAAAAAATATATATAGATAGTTTAACCCTTTCATGCATCATGTATCCTGATGACATGATAAGCAGTCCACTGTAGTCACCGCTGTGCCTGAAAGGGTTAAAAAACAAGCTTACTTGATTAGTAATTTTCAAATACCAGTCCAATACAAATTTAGGGGTATATCGTTTCATAAATAGCAAATCAATGTGGTTACTGAAGGCCTTATTATAACAGAGTAAGAATGAAATGGATAACAGGTTGAGTTATCATATGAAGTCTTGTTTTACTGCCTGTTCCCTCCACTGGACGCACACCTAAACGGTGAAAGACACAAGAAGATTGAATGTGGCTTGTCACGTGAATATGATTGTGACAGATTTGAAATAGACACATGACATTTTGTCCATCTCTGGCCAAATACGTTTTGGCTTCATTCCAGTGTTGTACATCAGCTTATGCTCTTATTCAGTCGCTGCGGCTCTCACATTGTGCTGCTTTACAGAATTGGTGTTTTTTACCTCTTATGTAATTTTTTGATTTTTTTTTTTTTAAATATATACATATACACACGTACATACATACAGTATTGCCAAATCCAACTGCCTCACAAAAATGACAATTGTGTTTGGATGGATTTTACTTTCCCAAAGGGCAGATTTGTCCTGATTTCCTGCTAAACACGATGCCAATCATGGACCAATGTTTAACTTGTATTGATTATTAACCATTAAACAGATGTACAGGAAGAATGACAAATTTAAACGACACTGATGTCCTTTGTCATTTTCTATGAGACAAGATACATGTACGGTATAACTCTATACATTATTTATTTTTCATGTGGTTAGCTCCTATATTTTGTTGTTCTACGTCTTCCTTTCATAACTTTGCTGCTGTGAATTGGGAATTTCTCCATTGCGAGACTAATAAAGGTTTTCTTATCTTATCTTAATAAAAGGTGCTGAATAATGGTCACATTCATCAATGTAACAAGAGCAGCATCAACTGATCTTTAATGGAGAGAAAGAAAGAGTAATGCCCTATTTTGATTGCAGCTGTTGATGAGTTGTAATATAAACTGTTTATTATTGTTTGCAGTTTTGAGGTGTATGCCCTCTCTATCAAAAAACGATTTCTTCTTTGCTGTAGGCAAACGGTAAACAACATATTAGAACATCTCCCAAAATAGCAGTATTGTAAACTGCTATCCAGTTGTTAAAAATCACCGTGCAGACATGATGGGATTCGAGATACATCAATGTTCGTGTGTTGACTTATTTTGAGGTGACAGTAATAGAAGCTGTAAATTCACTTTATATTGTTGCAAAGTGTCATTTCCTCAGTCTTGTCAGATTTATCCCATCAAGACATTAGAAAATATTTACAAATATATGAGGGGTGTGATTTTTTTTTTTTGTGAGATACTTCAACTTCAATGTGCTACATAGCTATGAATTCAGATTTACAAATAAAGTGCAAGAAAGATGTGAAAACAATATGTTAAGTATTTCCCTGGCGCAATGCAATGCCCTGTAATTTTGTGTTCAAGTGTAGGTAATGTCAATATTGCAATCGATACGCAATTTTAAACAGTAGCATTTCAATGGGTGATAACATTCAAATGCACACAGAGGTGAAAGCCGCTCAGTCAGTTGTGAGGAAATCGGCGCAGCGTGAAGGCGACGTCACGCGCGCTCGTTTTTCTGGATTATCAAGGAGCATCTTCAAAGCTGAGATAGCTCGCCTCAAAATGCCGAAGGGGACTCCGACTCCTAAGAGACAGAAGATTGATAGCGGGCAAGACCAGAGTCGGCCTCTTATCAGCATTGTCATAAAAATAACGATCACTTTAGATGCATTGTTCTTGCCGTGACCTGGCGTGGGGGCCGGCCGCATTCATGGTGGGTGTCGCGTCACCTCAAGGCATTGCTGCGCATGAGTTGTTGAACACATCAGAACTTGTAACATCAATGAAAACTATTTCTCTTCTGATTCAGAAAAAAAAATGTATATATCAAAGTGACCCCCTAACTTCTGATTGGTTTCAGGGATTAGTTTTTGCTCGTTTTTTTTTCATCAAATCCGGGTTTCCTTGCGGCTTGTTATTCTTATTTCCATTTGAATGGCTCGACATTCAACAGTAATCGTGCTGCTCCTGTAAAACCTTTGATCTGTAACGTGTGAATGCTTTTGCGCCAAATGCAGGACGGTTGCAGCTCGCTGGCGCCAAGGCGCACTGGGGTGTCGCAGACATGTCAACACAAGAACGTGATGGCCGGTTACAAAAGGGCGAATGCGGTACCTAACGAATGCACGGTGGTAGTTACCCCAGATAGATTACGTCACATATTTAATCAATACTAATTTGCTGATTATTTAATATTTGGACTGTCTTCTCTGTTGCTGTTCAAAGATTTTTTGGGGGGCGGGTAAGGGGGTCATACCCGATCCACCTTATACCTTGTAAATAAAAAGGAGTCCAACAATAAACAGGTATTTTCGTCTTTTTAGAGCTGATGACCACATTTTCAATTTATAGTCACTATACTAGGAGATATCAGCGACCTAAGGAAATAATAGAAAAAAATCTTTATGTGCATGTGTCCAATCAGAATGTTTTGGTGGTAACTTAATTCCTGATAGTTTTGGCTGGTAGGTAACTTATTGAAAATTGCAAAGGATTAAATGCCTGTTTTATGTCTATTGTGTTGACATGATGTCGTTGGGATTTTGGTGTCACAATATTTCCACATGCATTAAAATACTTTTTCACCTTGTTTCATCTCATGTAAAACAAGAAACAGAAGAGGCCTATTTGAACCAGACCTCAGGATGAGATCGAACTACAATAATAAACATGGCATGTTCATATTTGTATCTGTCAACAATTGCGACGTCTGCCATGTGGAGTTGTGACCATGTTTTTTCTCACTCGCCAAAGAAACAGTTCACATAATTCTTTACAGTGAGATATTGAATTGGATATATGTTTTTTGTCGTGAGATAGCAAAATGTCTCATGTTGCACTGATGTTTGAGTACATCCAGACTAAATAACCACATTCGTGTTTGTACTGTTATGCAGTTGGGGACTCGGGTGAGGCCAAACAGCTGTTTTTGCAGGAGCCCACGGTTTCACTCTAGGTCCGACAAATGCATGAGGCGGGGGGGCTTTCTCAGTCTCAGTGGCGCCAGGTCTTCACACACTCACAGGATATGGAAGGGCTTCAGTAACGAGCCATTAACCTCTAATCATGTGGATCGATCGGGCGTTAACAAGCCTCTCTACAAATGCAAATGTTGGCGCTGGCCCACTCCTTTATAAAGCAGCGATCGGGGGGAGTTGCTTCCTCATACTTCTATTGACACTTGTTGGACCGGTCACAAGCTAGTATCGAGAACATGGTGGTGTACTTTTCTGCGGATTGGCTCGCGCAGAGCCACCATGACAGCGCGCTGGAGGAGAAAGAAGGAGCCGGAAAGGGCAATTTGCTCCACTGCAAGCCGCACATCCCCTGCATGGTGCAGCCGAGCCCGCCCGGGTACGGAAAAAGTTACCTGCAGCCCAAACCAAAGTCATTTAAACCTCAAGAGCCAGTGGCGACCTCAGCTTCGCATTCAACACGCTGCACAACACCAAGTAAGTCGTAGGCTGGATTCTGCTGCTTTTTAATGCGCATCCGCAGCATGCTTCTAACTAGAATTGCATTTTTTTTCAGGTTCAGAAACAAGCGGTTACTCTTCGGGCTACGATAGTGAAGCGGCTTCCTCGGAGCGTCTGGCGTCTGTGGGCGAGGCCAGTGAGGCGGAGAAGGCGTGCTCTCAACGTCGAGTGCGCACTAAATTCAGCCACGAGCAGATCAGCAGATTGGTAAAGATCTTCGACAAGCACAAATACCTGGATGCCGGGGAGAGAGTGAAAACAGCACGCAAGCTTGGCCTGACTGAAACTCAGGTACAGTTCAAAATGATCTCCATATTTAATAACCGCAGCGGAACCATTTTGAAATATGGACAGGAGTTTGAACATGTATGTTTGTCTTTCTTAAAAGGTGAGGACCTGGTTTCAGAATCGGAGGATGAAGCTCAAACGGGAGGTGCAGGACCTCGCTCCCCAAGTCCAACCGCTCATGTTCCAACATATGCACCCGATTCAGTACCGCGCCGTTGCTGGACAGCACTCGCACTACCCACCAACCGGACCGGCCCTGTACCACGTCCCTGTGCCCCAGCTGGTCCTGCAGCAGCAGCAGATGGCCCCTCGCCCAGGGCCCCGTGTTATGATCCCACATTTATACTAAGAGATTGTTAAAGAGGAGATTTCCCAGTCAAACACTTAAGTGCAATTAATAACTGTTTTTGAATCGGTTTTGTTTTATTACGGGTTTTTGATGTAAGAGTTGTAAATAATGCAGAAAAAAAAGTTTATTTAATAAATAAAGTTTATCTTTGTAATGCAGCAAAGGTCTACGTCAAGGTGACTCATCTGATCCTTTCACGAGACGAGAAGCGCAATGTTATTGAAATCAATCTACGAAAACCCCAGCCTTGGATCATCCCCACGCCCCTCGCCAACACACACGCACACACACAACACATGCCAAATGCTGCCTTGCGCGTTTGCATTTCAAACGCCAGCTAACTGGGCAGATCATGGTCAACAATTAGCTGTAATTAAGGCGAGCATTGATGAGTTGACGCGTACCGCAGGGGCCCTCCAGCCTGGCTCCTGAGAGTCTGAGCTTTTGCATGTGAACGAATTTTAATCTCTGGTTTGAAGTCCTGCGGTCAACGCTTTGATTGTGTGATGTGATTTGAAGATTGCAAAACCCCAATGTCGTCCTTACACAACGAAACTCATTTGAAGTCTCCCGGCAACAAATGTAATTAAGATGGAGATTGAAAGGTCGATATAGTAAACTGCGTTTTAAAAGCTGCGGGAGGGTTGGGTGGGCCACAAGAGGACCTGCAGCAATTGTCTCATTCAGATCAAATCAACAAAGATCAAGCAGGATTTTCTCACTTTCTGAATGATCCCCACCCACAAGAAAGGCTTCGTCATGCACACAACACGGATCAATCACAAACAACATATCATCAATAAAGTGGAAGGATATCTCCAGACGTTTGGGTTAGAACAGTCGTGATTGTTACAATCCACAAGTTAAAGTCATTAATTTGGTCAGTCAGTTGACATTTTAGTTCAGCGTCTGCATCAGTCAATCACATTATGCCGACATGCCAGGTAGCTGCAGACTTACTGGCGCCAGCAGGACGTGAGAAAAAAAAACACCAGCTCGCCTCTATTAAGCTCAATTACAACCTCCATCAAGTTTCTATCATTCCGTTGAGAACTTTGCATATGCAAATAGAAAAGTACGTGTGCTCCACCCATAAGGTTCACCGGAAGGGCCATGAGAGGCGAGACCTACTGGACACGTCTGGAGACTTCTGCGTGGACACGTTATGGCGAACTTCTCGGTGGAGTGGCTCTCTCAAAGTTTTTATGCAAAGGAAAAGGACGCTGCTGGGATTACTCTGCAGAAAACTGTTCATTCGAATTTGCAGGATGACGAGCCAAAAAGCTCCCCACCGTCACCGAACAGTAAGTACACCCAAGCGCTTTAGCTTCGGTGGGTTGGTTGTGCTCATTTGCTTTGGTAAACTAACACAACACAATTTCTCCCAGATAGCTGCGGTTACACTTCCAGCTCAGAAAGTGAAGCGGAAGAGGAAGGAGAAGTTACCCAGCAACGGAGGATGAGGACGAAATTCACCTCTGAGCAAATCAGGAAGCTCGAGAGCACTTTTAACAAGCACAAATATTTAGGAGCCTCACAGAGAAGGAAGATTGCAGAGAAGCTCGACCTCTCTGAAACTCAGGTAAAGTGTCTCTCGGGGGTTATTTCTTGACTCTGTTTAAAAAGCGTCATGTTGATGGACACATTGACCACTTTCATATTCACCAACACAGGTGAAGACGTGGTTTCAGAACAGGCGGATGAAGTTAAAGCGAGAGGTGCACGAGATGCGGCCTGACTTCCTCTCCGTGCGCGCGGTTCTACTGCCGCCTGCCTTGTTTCAGCACCACGCCCTCGGAGGACAGTTCCACGGCAGCAACGCCTTCTATGCTCCCCTCCCGAGTGTGCACCGGCCTTCGATCCCGCGCCGCCACCATTTTACCATGCCCAAGCCGTTCTACTGACCTGAGCCACAAATCTGTCCACCACACACACACACACACACACACACACACACACACACACACACACACACACACACACACACACACACCCACACACACACACACACACACACACACACACACACACACGCACACACACACCCGCCGCCCCCAACATTGAATCTCGATATAAAAAGTGCTCTCATTTCGTGCGGTGTAAAAGTTGTCAACACAAGTTATTTTAAACACACTCCCAATGCATGAATAATTCCATTGTATTTAATTCCCTGCAAATGTATATATTAAACTATTTTAAAAAGTCGTAAATGGTCCCCTCTTGAAAAAAAAAACAGTCCCACAGAATTATGAATGATAGTTATTGAAGTGATTTATTAATTTATTTGTGGTGTATTGGTAAAATCCATTTATACACAGAGTGGTATTCATGAGTGACTATTTTTATTTTATGTAATATTCATTGTGTTTTAAAGAGTATGTTTTTAAAAAACGCGTTTTATTTCCTTGAAACACATCAGTGCAAACAAGATCATGTTTACAATGTTGAACCTCTTTCAGAACTTCTACACTTCCCACAGGTACAACATTAAAAAAAAAGTTACATTAATTCTTACTACTCCGGAATATGTTTGTGATTTTCAACCAAAGAGAATCAGTTCCTCAAAAAGTTATTTTTGAGTTGCTGTCTGAAGTTAAGGTTTCAATCCAAGTCGTGAGGTTTGTTGATCCTAAAGAGAGCCAGCAGAGACAAGTACTACTTAAATATTAGGGGGAGGGGGGTTGCATTGAGGTATTATGCTTCATAGATGCATTGATTTATATTACTTTGGTTACTTTGGCTACAAGAGAGGACAAAATATTAGAAACAGTTCCCCGTTTTTTGCAGCAGAGTTATACACCCCTACAACCAGAAGAATAATTATTGTTAGATGTTTTTTTTCGCTCTGACAACGTCAATAAAACGACCTGTAAAATTTTATACAACTTGTCTTGATTTTTAATGGGTCTTGCATTTTGTTGCGATCATCGTCGTTGAATTAAACGGTGGAGGGGGATCACATGACTTCATTGTGTATCATCCCTTTGAAGATTATTGCACCGAAGGGATTACGCGTTTGTGTTTTTATAGAATTTGGGGTATTTTTAAACCAGTCCGAAAGTGCTGTCCCCAGCTGCTGCCGGCAAATATTTTCATTTGGCGTCCTGTGGCATGACTTGCTGTCGAGACAGCTCCTCGTTCCTGGTTAATTTGCATTCTCAAGACATCAAAGCAGATCTAAGTGCCACATCACTGAGATCCATTGAGCCCTTTTGTTTCCCGTCTTCGAACAATTCGCACGTATTTGGAAGCAGCGTAGGGAAGGCGCCCTCAAGTCTGCCGAAGGTGTGTATTGCCTCACGTTTAAAGTCATTAGGTGGCACTGGTTAAATGGGTGACTGATTGAGTCACCCTGTCATAAAGCCTCACGTCTCTCGATCTCTTTCGTGCCGTCACTCACGGGTTGCACTTTGGATCCAGAATAGCAGACACCTGTAACTCGCTGGTGGAGACCCACTGCAGGGCATCCTCTTGTTTCATCCACAATTTATTATCCCCAAAGTTTGAGGTTTATAATCAAAAATATAGCATACAAAAATGCAAACACCTTGTGTTCATGTTTGAAACGTTAAGCAGAAATCCATCAAATGAATAATCATTAATTTAAGGCGTGCATTTCCTTTTCCCTAATTTGGCCCGAGTCGGCAGCAGCAACTGGGATAGTGACCACCTCTAATGGCCAAACCAACATCAATAAATGTCTATTGTCTGAGAGAAAAGCCTTTTAGTGGAATGACAATGTGCTTTTCACTGATCTTTTTTTCAATCAGGTGAGTTGAAGGTGAAGAGGTGCTAACTGTTGCAACTGGATGGCAGCAGACAGACTGGAGCCAAAGGTGGGTGTCACATGGTTTACAAGAGCAAAGTTTGTCTGCAGACTCACTAAGAGTCACTAGTAGAAGGCAAAACGGTTCCATACAACATCATCCGATTATTGCTGGGATGCAATTTAACTGCTATGTGTGCACGAGTAGTCAAGGGAAGGATTTCTCTCATCGATGTCATATTAATACAAGGTATTTAATTAATTATTTGAAACACTTGTTTTCAAGAGGGATCATCTTGTAACACTTTGGGGAGATTTTGGATTTTCTATCTGACAGCACACTGCGATGTCGTGGTCAGCACATCTGCCTCACAGTTCTCAGATTTGAAGAATCAAATCTATGTGCGTGGGTTTTGTCCGGTTCTGCGGCTAAAGTCACACAGGATAAAAATGATATATACATACATCAGACATGTTACTCAATACATAACACCTAATTACTTGAACAAGTGGTGCTGTCGGCACAGCATCTAAAATGTGTCTTAAACTGCTTGAAAACAAAATGTTCAATTTATTGATTATGAGCCCCCAAACTGAAATGACATTGTTGCGTCGAGGAAATATGATGCGAATGATACGAATGAAACTACAACTGAGCAAAAAAATGTTTGATAATAAAATGACATGACTTAAAAAACAACAACTTCATTTTGGTGTCTGTTGTGTATGGTGGTTATACCATAGCTCTTCATTGTGAATGTGGTGTAAAAAGATGATACCGGTATTTGTATTTAATGAAATGAATCCTGTTTCATGGAGCAGGCCTATCACTTTAAACAAGTTAACCCAGTGGACCCAAGTAATGTGTTGAAGCAACTTTCCTCACTACACAGTAATATGTTGCTATAGTCAATGTGCTTGCGATAAACAAATGACATGTTATTTTAATTTCAGCTGTATTGTGTAGTGTACTTTGATACTGTAGAACTGCCATTTTGCTTACACTGTACTTTTTTTTAACTTCATAAAAGCTGCAGAAATATATGAATACATTTCACAATACAATCCATTTTTATTTATATAGCGCTTTCACAACACCTGATGATAAGTATATGAGTACTGCATTATAATAATAAAAAAAGAGGATTGTCCTATTACAAAACACATTTTATGACAAACTATTTCAGGATTGAACAGTATTAAAGGTTGGTATTTTAATCTATCAAAGAATATTGACGTGAAAAAAAAAATGTTGCCTGACTTTGGAGCAGCAATACAGAGGCAATACCTCGAGCCCTTTTGCTTATTAGAGTTGGTAAAAAATATTGCCTAATGTGTCCAATGCATATTAACGGAAGCTAAAAATAGTATGGCTAATGTTTCAAATACATACCCACTGTAATAAAATAACATTCAGTGTATATTTTTATGACCAAGTCTTGTGTTCCATGGAATCTTTATTGCAAATATTAAACAGACAAATTATGCGAGTAATAACTGAGTAAACATGCAATATGACATCACCAGAAAAAGTAGACAACTTATCATGATCTAAAAAGAGGAATCACTTAGAACTACGACATCACAAAATTCACGTGTACTTAATGCGTGAGAGTTTCCTCACTTCGCATGTGTGAACATAGATGTCGGCTGTCATGACGAGAGGATTTGTGGAATACCTCGGCAGCCCCATTTTCCCATGCCCTATGCCTCTTTAAAGTGACTTCTCAAAGAGGTATATGCATAGGAAAAAGGAACAGCGAGTGCAAAAAAAAACACCCCAGAGCTGCTTCATCCTGCTTGCACCCTGAAAGAAAGGAAACAAATGACAGGAACAATCCACACAGGACAACTCAAGTTATTTTCATGTGCATATAATGGAAGGAGGCAAGGCGAATTCAATTAAAATCCAACTTGAAGTTAAAAACTCATCCAAATTCTGGTATTGTGTGTGAAGTATGAAGAGGACTTACCCCGTGGAGCTCCAGCTGTGTCCTGTGGGGCATCACAGCCTGTTGGGCATTTATCCCTCCTCTGGGACCTTGAAGATGTTTCAGAGAAACAGAGTAGCGAATGCCTGTGCTTAGTCAGCACTCACCCTCCCTTGGTTTCAAGCCACAGATGCCTCAGTCGAAAAAAAAAAAAATAAGATACAGCACACGTTGTCTATTGTCACAGTTACCACATCCTATCTTGCACATGGCATGCACGTCAGAGGCAAATCATGGAAGAAGAACGCCTTGTTCTTTCTGGTGGAACACTTTCTTATCTGTTCAGGGTTGTCAGTTCCCCGTGTCTCCCAGAAGACGGGCCTCTGTGCTTTTTAGCTCTCAAGGTCTCAAGACATGGACTCTCAGGATGTGTTGGAGTGGGACACACACACACACACACACACACACACACACACACACACACACACACACACACACACACACACTGCTATGGCATGCCAAGGCCAGAGCAACCAGGCAAAATGTGTTTCTCTGAACCTCTAAATTTATGCCATTAAAAAGATTAACCCACCTCTGAGGAAAGTCAAACAATGCATAATATACACCATAAATATGCATCGTGGGCATATCTGAACCTCACTGGGAGCATACCCACTGACAACATGTTCTCAGCCATATAGAGCATCTTTTTCTATATTAGACCTCCATGAAAGAAAGTTTATTTGGTGAGGCGTTTTGATGTGATGGAGAATTAATAGAATGTTCAATGAAGCAGACACGACACATGGATTCACTAACGCAATTTGAAGTAAATTTCTGCAAGCCAGGGATGGTGTGAGCAGAAGTGGACTCATCCAAGCAAAGAAAAACTGTTGTCATTCCGCTGACACCCGTGTCTCTAAAGGTTGAAAAAAATCAAATTTTAATCGGAATGCAGATGTTGTGTACACTACTATTTACCAAGCTCTTATTGGTTAGTGTGTGTGTGTGTGTGTGTGTGTGTGTGTGTGTGTGTGTGTGTGTGTGTGTGTGTGTGTGTGTGTGTGTGTGTGTGCGTGTGTGAGACCTATTGTGTATGGAACTGTATGTAGTGCAATTTTGGAAAGAGAAAGCTTATACAAAGCACCACTTGGTGGCAGCAGTTTCAAATGTGTACCCAAGCCAAACTTAATTTTTCAGCACCATATCATATAAATGTACTGCATTTAGATCTCCATAAGACTCAATATAAGACGTTGCCGAGGAAGGCAAACACTTTCACGCGACATGAGATCAAATATTGACAGCCGTGCGCCGCTATGCTTTGTGCCCTTTGTGCTGCTCAAGGTCTGACGAGCAGGAATGTGTTTGGGTTGTGTGGATAAGATATGTCCTGATACTCTCTGATATCATTTGTGCTCTGTCTCTTCCAGCGTGTCTTCGACACATATCCTCCTCATGTGTGTATTTCTTGAAACACAAACTGAAAATTATCTAGATAATTAAAATGGCAAAATAGAAAGCGTGTCACCACTGTAGAAGTGTCACCTGCATCAAAATGTGGGGCTCATTTCCACCGTGTCTCCTGGGGAGAGCTGCTTTTAATTGGGCACACGTTGACATGCATTTTTTTTTTTATCCACTTTTCCCCGCAAGGGTGTTTGGGGGAATTTGCAGAGTGAAGCAAAAATAAGCACACACGTCTCACTCAGTAGAAAGGAGCCACAAGCTGAGTTGTACACAACAAGTTCACTCATCAGAAGTTTGCTGACGTAGCGTGCAGTTGAAGAAGTTGACACATTGACGGGATAGGAGTTTATCCCCTGAGCCCCAGCAAAACAAACATGTGCGACGGTCTTACTGCTGTCACCGGATTTTTGTTGATCGGTGACAATCTGAGGTTTTATATCATAATCTAACACCTTTGTGGACTTTGAACGACTTCAGTGTAAAGCTTGCTGTGAACTGTGAAAACATCCCTGCGTCTTAACTGAGAATGATATTTACTTCACGGTTTCTTACCACCGTTAGCGAGACCACCGCCAAGACTTGAAGTTGAGGCTTCTGAGGCAAAAAGCTTGCATTATTTGTGTGCCGTCCAGTGTTTATTTCCACCGGTGAGGGGATGAGAATAACCAAGCAGATTGGTACTTGACCCCGACTCTAAAATAACGAAAGAATCCAGCGAACCGTCTGAGCGTGTCTTCTAAAAGCAAAAAGGATGTCACTGTTAACATAACATTTCTTATGTTGTTAAAACCATGCTCTTAGTTCGTAGTTGTAAGAAAAGTGTTTAGGGCTAAATAACATGGAGTATATTTGCCTCATTTCGAACAGCTGTCTGAGTTTGGGAATGTTACGGTTTGCCGACTTGCATGATTAATTCATGAGAAACGGCATTTTCAAGGTCTTTTGTTAAGTCCTGTGATGACACATTTGCAGACATTTTGCACATTTGGCATCAAAGCTTTAAAATAAAACAACACAAAATGTTCCATTTTGGCTCCGGTTAAAGGATAATCCCCTGAAGCAATATATATATATATATATATATATAT